CTGCTGTTCTCCTTTGGACTCTTCTCAGTTGATACATGTCTTGAAGTTTGGGGTTTGCTTGAGTTCTTGTTCAAATGTGCCAAGACTACAGAGGTTGTCCCTGCTAGCCAAGAGCACTGAAAGTGACCAATTTTTTACTTACTTTTTTTTGGGGGGGAAGATTGTCAAGTATTATTTCACATAGTTTTATACATGTTTATAGTAATTCCTTGCCTTTGTCTTTTTTCCTCAGGATTTTCAGAGGCAAATCACTGGCACTTGCGTTTCCGCTGGTCAGGGGATACTCCATCAGAGCTTCTGAGGAAGTTCAGAAACTATGAGATCTAAAATGCAAAATACACAGGAGTGTGAGGTCATCTGTTCAGCAATTCAGTATTTTTTTGGTCAGCAGTTATTTGTATTTTGTATTAATTTATTGTGATATAAGCATTGTTCGAATAAATGCTATGAGCATTACAGATGTTTAATAAGCAAACATTAATAAGCAAAGCCCTTTCCAGTGTTAACATAAAGTGATTTTGTGAAGTTATCTAACATCTTATGTATTGTTTCTTGTATCCTTAAATCTTGTGTAGTGAATAATATTTTTCTCAATACTGTGATGTTATAAAGGATGTACTCTTGGTAGAACCAAAAGTCGATGTTAGACTCCAGCGTATCTCCTATTCAGTGATGATCTTCCAAAAGCTGTATGATAGTGAACTTTAAAACTGTGCTTGTTTGTAAACCACGTGCTCTGGTTCACTTCTCCATGGCATTGTACTTACTGTAGTGATTTGTAGTGCACGCATGCACAATACTATTACAAACTTAACTTGCTGGAGAACTGTGATCTTATGATATAGATGAAATAAGAACCTTATTATCCAAGAAGGTCACCGTGATAGATCAAGCACTTTTAAAAATCACTCGCTTTCTATCTTAACCAAGTACACTTTTTGCACCAGCTGTTTATTTTGGAAGGCAGTTCCAGAACTTCACTTCTCCAGTCAGCAACTTTCTTCTTCATAAGATTTATTGGTGGACAGCTGATACCCCTGTATATGTGCCAGCATTGTCCTGTGGCTTAACAGTAATTTCCCTCCCTGCTCTGGCCTGGTAGACGGGGTCTTATCAGGGTTTTGTACAGTGAGGAATGAAGAATCAGGTCAGTCAGCATTAATGTGTACAAAATCTCACATGAAAGTTTTTTGATATTTTGGGCAACTTTTCAAATTCTACATTGTATTTATTTTGTGTTTGCTTTCTTCTTTGTAAACCTGGCTAATATGTTAGTTACTGACATTGTTGTTTTGTGCAGGCAAGTAATTCCATCAGCAACAAATAAAACTGCATGCATACAGAAAGGGGTTGTTCTCATTTTTAAAAATTGAAATCCTCTCCCACCACAGAGATCCCTTTTGAATTTCTTGTTATTTGTCCCCTCAGTGGGTAAAAGCTGAAGGGGGTCCAGTTATGAATCTTGGGCATCTCCACGGGAAGTCTAATCTGAAAACTGCAGGTCTTCTCCCAACGTGGAAACAACATTGCGATGTCCGTCTCTCCCTGGAGGGATGTGTTTGGCTTTACCGTGCAGGGGTACGATGTGCTGACTGACCTACTGTGCTTCTCCTGTTTGGTTCCTATTTGCTATAAATTGTAACACGAGTGCCTGCCAGTGGAGCCCTGATAATAGCGTATCTTACTAACCTCATTTGTATATTCATTCTGGTGCTAGTTTTCTTTACAGGGGCTGATACCAGTGTTAATGTTGTGTTTGTACCAGTTTATAAAAGCTGAAATTACTGGTCTGCTGGTACAGCTACATCAATCCTAGATTTGATGGCATCAGCAGCAATAGCTATTTTACAGCACATCATCCTGCTTATCCAAAATATATTTTTTTAAATTCTATGTGCTTTTCCCTTGCATATTTTGCAGCTGAAAACATTACAGGGATGAGATTAATAATTTTCTGTAATAATCTGCTAAATGTAATCACAAATTTTCTTCTAGTGCATATGCTGTTTTCCTTTATATAAAGGTATTTGCTCAAGAAAGACTTTCAATCCATTTTATAGCGAGGGACTGTAAAGAATGTCACACAGTAGTAACAGAAGAAACTAGTTTATGCAAAGGATACAAAGTAATAGGGTACAATTTTTCTGTCTTTAACAAAAAGATGGAAATGCAACCAGCTGGACTACTTCGAATCAGATGGCAGCTCAGACTCTCCTCTCCCCTTTCCACTTGCTCGTAAAGGTAAGAGAGGTAGTTGGATGGATGATTTAGCACCTAACCAGCTGGTTTCCCTCAAGAAGTGAGTACACAATAGACCTTTGAACAGCAAACTCATTTTTCTTGTCATTAAAACTGGTGTCATTATTAGCCAATTATTACATGGTTTGTTTTGGCAAAGCAGCTTTACATACTTGTTCTGGATGAACAATCACAGATATTTGGAAGACTCTTAGCCTAGCGAAAGCTGATGGCAAAACTTGCATTTTGCAACGTGCCTGCCAGAGAGCAGTACTCTAGTTTGGTTTTGACCTAGTGAAAGGGGCAAATTATTAACTAGTGGTTTGGCACACAGATACAGGCTTTTTTCCTATTTATATATATATATTTAACTTGAAATGGTCCAATTTTCCGCATTTCTCAAATAGAGCTGAATGAATTCATTTCTAGCACATCAAACCCAGAGGTACTGGAAAGCAAGAGGAAGCTGTGCAGCCTATTTTGCTTTTGGGACAGCACTGGTGGGACCTACCTGTTGGCGAGTAAGAACAGTTAACTGGAATAAGTGGGCAGCTGAGTTCTCCCCCCATGTTAGAAAGGAAAGAAATAAGCGTCTGACAAATTACTGTTAGATCATTTGGGGCACATCTCCCCAGTCATAAACTGCTTATATTTTTTTTTTACATACAGAGTATTTTTACAAGATTTTTGCTAGTAGCATAAAAAGATCCAGCAAATGTCCCGCATGACCTTACCCACAGTAATGTGGTGCCTTGGTCTCTGCACTAGTAAGCACATAACATACTTAACATGCTTAAATATTAATTGGAGCAGGGCTTGGAAGGTGGATCTCTCAAGCTTGGCAAAAATGTGATTAAGAGGTAACAGTCAGGTATACATGGCTTTCCAGTGGTCAACAGAGAACTTCCTTTGGAAAGTGGAAACAGCTGCACAAGGACATTTGTGGGGATGGGGAACAACAGCAACAAACCCAGACACTATATATCAGAAATAGGGTCTGTGAATCTTGAGTTGGGGAAGAGGGCAGCTACCTGCAAGGGATGGTAAGGTCCTATTTTCTTCTTTAGCACTGTCTGTGAGTTGTTTAGGTATGTCACAAAGGGGTCCTGAACCTTCTGGGTATTTATCTGAGGGGTCTGACTTGGTGCGTGCTTCTACTGCACAGCGATTGAGGATTAATATGCTGGAGTGCTTTGCTAGCTATAGCTCGAAAGGACTTAGTGTAGCTTTGTATGAAAATAAACAGACCTGAGAAGTGAGCCTAGATCCTCTGGGGTCTAGCCAAAAGTATTGATTAAACTTGGCCATTACTGGACTTGTGAGGGCTGATGAGATTTCAGCTGGAATTTAGGAGACAGCAGATGGGGGTGCAGGTGGATGATGATGATGATAAAATACAGAGAATAGAGCATGTTTAATACTATGTTTCTAGGTCTCTGAAATTGTATCAACCAGTTTTGTGGTATCAGAAATTAAGCAACTATTTAGCCTGCTGTTTACAATGAAACTGAACAGCTCTGGGGGTTCTTGAATTATATAAAAATAATATGTTCTTAATTACTGTAGTTATGCCCATTCTATAAGATTGAAAATATTCTAGTTCTTCATAAACTTTTTGTTTTGCCAGTATTTGCCAAGTTGTTTTGTCAATGTTTCCCAAGTGGCAATGTAAGAGTTAACATTTTGATGATGAATACAGACAGTACATGACTTAAAATCTCAGGCTGAGTATGCTGAATTATAGGTAAGGTTGTTTCCTGAATGCTTGTTTTCCTCTTTGAATGAGAGAGGAAAAAAAAACAACAAAGAAAAAGGCAGTTTATACGTTCTGTAGTAGAAGCAAGTATCCTGATGATTAAAACAGATACTGGCTAGCTGTAATTTCCTGAGCATGAACATTGCTGTCTCACGCTTTCATATCCTGAAATGAGAGACAAGACTGCTGGGAAGGTGAGCAGTGAAGCTGTTGTAAAGCTGATGAAACCACACAGCAAAAGATAAAGCAACTCAGTAAGTCGTCAGCCTCTGTCCCTGTCAGATGGGGTGATACTGATCAGTTTATGCTGGGTACTTTAATTGCAGCCCAGTGTTCAGGCTCATCCTGCTGTTATAAGAGTTGCCAAGCCTCTCCCCAGATGTTGGGCACTGCGTATGTTTGTTCTTTCACCTTCAGTATTATTTGTCTCTTCTCCCTCCCATGTTAATTAAGATGAGATTCTTCATATGCTGTTTGTCCCAGCTTTGAAAGGCTTGTGTTTTGAGTCATGACAGCGGTGCACAATATAGACTGGGAACTTTTACACATTTTAGGTCTCCGATGAATATCATAACCTGTCACAGGTAACGGATGATGGAGAAAACAAATTTTCTTTCCTCTCTATTCCATCTTCACAGTGGTTTGCTCTTGCACTCTTCTTCTGGTGGGGTAGTAAGGGAGAGGGATTACTTCTAGAAAATGAAATTTGCTACCAATGTTCAGGAGGTTTCCAGTCTTGATGTGCGATGTGATTCTCGATGCTTTGGACAAAATTATTTACTTGCTGCTTTGTCAAAACTACTTCTCTGAAAATATCGAAGGACTCTTGGCATGAGGCAGACAGCTTTTCTAAGGAGATGCAGTTTGACTCTTGGGCATCAGTCCTTACAAAAACTACATTTACTTTGTCAGGATTGTCAGAGCTGGTCCTTTACTAGCAGTTAATTACCATGGAGCCCCCAAATTCATGCTGGGTAGAGGACTGTCAGCTCCCTCTCTTTCTCATAAACAACTTTGTGTCAATGATATCGATGGGACTGGGGTGGGTGGGGGCAAGATAATGAGCAGAAGGGTCCAGATGAGTAAGAGGTTGCTCCAGCTGGTTGGGCCTGGGCGCCTTTGGTGCTTTCTGCTACTTGTGGTCCCCGCTTTCAAAGGATCTGAGTCTTTCCCCAGGATGCCCATGTCCATCCTTGGCCTGCCGCTGCCAAAGGACTAGGCTGCTTGCTTCAGTGTGGATAGCTGATGATGAAAAGGAGACTGGACATCTTAAGCATCTTTGTGCTTAGCTGGCTGGAGGCATCTCAATCCCTGAAGGTACTGTGCAGAGGGCCAGAGCCAGGTTTGGGGAGGAAAATTGCACCAAGTGACAGAGATAAGGAGCAGTAACATTTGAGCCCATATGTACCTTTTGAGGTCTGGACTCCCGCACCAGATTCATCGCTGCCTT